CTTGGTCAATTCCTTAAAGTTTTGAGTTTAAATGGCCTCATCTGTAAAACATGGATAATACAGAATATATATGTGAAGTGTCTGTTATATAGCTTGGCATCCAAAAACTAGTCATTAAATGATAGAGAACTTCCTATTTATCTTGATTTAATATCCAACTACAACCTCCTAGTCTTTCAGGAAAAGGGGACTTCACTTTATTCCCAGGCTGACTGGCTCCCAAATTTCTCTGGAATACCCAAACACAAAATACACACGAACTGTGCTCTCTAAAGACATAGCCCTTCACAGAACATTGCATGTCCTCTGAAACACACCTAATGCTTAAGTGCAGCACAAGACACAAGACATAGCACACTTCAGAAGACAGACATTACACAGAACATGGCACCTCCAAATGCAGCCTCACCTGCTTTTCCCACATGTTCTTCCACGCTTCAAGTCCTTAACACCGATTATTTTTAGAAGGACTATGACAATTTCAGAGACCTGGCTGATTCATTTGTCTCATTGCCTTTGCCTTATAAGTTTATTTATTCATATATTTATTTATATATTTATTCATTCATGTATTTATTCCCCACCTTACTCCAAAATGAATAGCAGGTGGTATACACAAAATACAAAAAATACATTATGATTGCATAAATTCAAAGTAGATAAGAAAGCAAAAGAAAAAAAAACAAAAATATAAGAAAGTGAATACAAAGTGCATACATACCATAGGGGCCCATTATAAGTGCTATGCATAGGCCATTCATATTTGGCTCCAAGCTTTCTAGCAGCCAACAAAAGAGAAACCTGAACAGCCCCAAACTTCACAGGGTTCATAAAATAAAATCAAACCACTTATTCAATATGTCCTGGTCTAAATTCTAAAACCTTTTCCATAGTAAGATATAATAAATGGTGGCAAATTGTCTCTCCTAATTTTTTCCAACACCAAGATTTAATTATTGGAACAGTCTTCAAACAAAGATCTTCAACCATCTTAAAATAACATGTGTACTACTATTATTCTTCTACCTGCCTCTTAAAGTTCCATTCAGTCAATAAAATGTAACTATTAAAGAGATTTATTAGAACAAACAAAAAGCCTCTGCTGTAATCAAAGTATTTTTTCATTTAACTAAGTAGACACTGTGACATTGTTTATGACAAAAAAACTGGAAATGACCTCAAATATCCAACAAAAGAAAATGTTAAATAAAACAGGATGCCACTATGTGATGAAGTATTTATATACCACTTATGAACTTTCTTGATGAAAGAAAATATGATAGGAATGGTAAGGGTAAAAGCAGGATGTAAAAGTGTATATATTATATTAATTATGTAAAAAGTATATGTGCACATATAGCTAAAAATGTCTAAAACTAATCCACGAAAATGTTAACACTGTTTCTGGGATTTGTGAATATGGGTTATTTTTGTAAGCTTATCTTTATTTTTTATGTCTTTGATAATGACACTTTCGATGTGATGAGAGAACGGGGACTAGAAGGAAAAATACCATCCAGTTAGTTATATTTGGCTGTGAAATTATGGGCAATTTTAATTTTCTTTTTAAACTTACTATACATACAAATTCCAGTTATGGTCAAAGTTACTTAAAAAAAGATTCTAAAATCTAGTATTTGGCTGTTTGTAATGTCAGAATGATACAAACATAATACCTCACAATTGCATGGCACTTTTTTCTTTAATAGTATACTCTGATAGAATTTCATTTGATTATCAAAACTACTTTGTGAGGTAGGCCAAGTATTACTATCTTAATTTAGCAGAGGATGAGACAGGCTCAGAGAAACTAAGTGACTAGTCCAAAGTCATACTAAGAAATGACAGACCAGGACTCTAACTCAGGTCTCTAGAGTTCAAATACAGAACTCTCTCACTTTGTTCAAGAATGATGAAGGTGTAACCATAGGCAGTCATCTAGAGGAAAAACATGAAAACAGTGAACCCTTCTTACCTATTAGGGTCCGTTTCCTGAACAACCCCCTAAGTAGGAGAATTCTGTTGAGGAAATTATTTTGGCAGATAAAAGAAATATGGCAGGGGAAGTGAGGTCACATGAACTCTTGAAAGCTCATATAGTTCTGTGCAGTGAAACAAAACAATAGTACATTACATTAAAAGAATGAGAGTTTACATAGCTTAAATTAGTAAAACTGATAGGCTCTACAGTTTTCATTTAGATCATCAGGAGATTTCCAGAGGTGATAAAGATGTACCATTTGCCATGGCTGTGGAAGATGGGAATGACAATGAACTAATGACCAGAAATGGATTGACAGTTCAAATCAAGGATCTCTTTGCCCTTGAGGTCATTTAAGTCCAATCCTGAAATTATAACAACTTGCTTGTGGTTTTAGTCTTTCAAGCAAGTAAATTTAACTGATCCAACTTAATGACTTTGGCTCCTTGAAGATATTTTCTATCTTTCTTGAAGACACCTTAACACTTCTGTATAGACTTCAACTCAAATCAAATTATGAAGACAGCTTATCAGCTATCCAGCAAGAGTATTTATATAGCAGTATCTGATTTTGGCACTTCCAAAATTACTTTCTTCCAAATGTGCTGCCTTAAAAAGACATTTAGCGAAGTTTTTATTGAGTTCAATGAAATCATCCAAGATTTGTCTGAAGACAGCTGATTAGCTGTTAAGCAAAAAAAAAATTAACTAGTAGTATTGATGTTTTAAGCTCTGCTGAAGATGGTGTCTGTCCAATACAATTTTTGAAAATGTCATAATATGTTTTTACAGAATTCTGCTAAATTATTTAAGCCTTTTTGTTGCTTATAACCATTTATCTCCCCTATCATCTTAATTATCTTCTCCAACTTTTATGACAGTCACATCTGGGGTACCGGAAGTTTCCTGAAGTTTCCTTTAGTAACATGGTATCACTTGAATCAGTGTTAACAAATTCAGGTTCAGCTTCAGTTGAGGATTGCATCTGCATCAATTGTTCATCCTCATCCATAGGTTCTTCTTGATCCAAAGAGTCTTTGTCTTCGGAAGGGATTGTCGAGAGGTATTTCACCATCTCGAGCCAAATCTTCTCCCAGGTGACATTAATGACAGGTTCTGATAAGCTATTTAATGCTTCCTTTATTAAAAATACGGCATTAGTGATGGTATAGGAATCCCATGCACTGGGATCTTCAGACAGAGGAACTTTTGCAAGATTTTGAACCACAAAATTATACATTAGTTTGGCATAAGTCTTCTTGAATGGTTGGATCAAACACTGATCTAAGGGCTCAAGAATCTGAGACACACAACTAGTGATAAAGACAATCTTAACATTAGGATGTTCATTAGCAAATGCATCTGAGGTGCCAAAGGGACTGTGAAGAATCAGTAGAACTTTAAACTCAAGATTTTTTTGCTTTAAGTAATCTTGAACTTCTACAAGAAAACACCTCTCAAACCATTCCTTAAGAAGAGAAGGAGTCATCCAGGTTTTTCTGTTTGCACGCCAATACACTGGAAACTTGGCTCGATTTTTTCCCCTAAGAAGATTGGGGCATAATTTTCTGTAGAGCAGCAATGGTTTCACTATGAGGTGACCTGAAGTATTGGCACAAAACAAAAGTGTCAGCCTCTCTGTTTTTGCTGACTTCATGTCAGCATCAGTTGGTTCTTGTTCTACAACAGGACAAGTGGGATTATTCAGAGGCTTCCAAAGCATGGCAGTTTCAACGGCACCAAAGATTTGTGCAGGTAGATAATCCCCTTCAATAATCACTTTCTGCAGTTGTGGTGGATATAATACAGGAACTGTTGCAGGATCTAGTGAATCTTTCTTTGGTGTCACTGTCATGGGAGACTGGGTCTCCGGGTCATGGGGCACCATAAATTTATCAAACCATCCCTTGCTTCCAGTTAAGTTTTTCTCTGAACCCACTTCAGTTTCTGAAAACATGTCTTTAAAAACTCCTCTTGCACGATCATAGATCCCTTGGATAGAAAGTGATTCATTATACTTGTGCTTGTCTTCAATCCAAAGGTTTAACATCATTTCTATCTTTTCCATTCTTGGATCATGAGGGATAAAGCATCTTTTAAGTGATTTATTTGCACAAGAGTCAACACTGGCTCTAATAAAACTTTCTGCCTTCTTAATGGAACGAATTGTAGACTCATTAACACCATACAAGCGACCTACAAAGCTATTTGTTTTACCCTGAAGAAGCAGATCAAGAATATCTCTTTTCTCTTCTAATGACATCACTCTTCTTTTCCTTTTAGCAACTTTCTGTGCTGCTGCTGCTCTTTTTTTTATTTCACTCTCTTGTGACTTAAGAGTCATATTTACAGAAGCCATGTTTAATTTTATGCTAATAATGCAACCTGAATGTTATTTACTAGAGATTTTATATCCACTAGAGTTACAAAGCATAAGCACGTGATATTTTAGCAACAAATAGTACTATGAACATAAGTCAATGATAATATATTGTCATGAAACTCAATGTGAATAGGACTGACTATTTAGGAAACAGCTGGAAGAAGGATGAGGAAACAAATCACCCAGTAGTTTCTTTCCACCTTGTGATATAATCAGTATAACAATAATGTAGCAAATGGGACTGACTCCCACATACTCAATTCAAACTCTTCAGAGCAATATAAGAGGTATACACAAGTAAGACCACCTATACTCAAACAACCAATAAGGAAAAAATTGTTATAAAGGGATTACTATAAATTATCCCCTAAGTTATAGGAAAGTCAGTTTTTATATATTCAAGACAGTACTACTGCTATGGTTAGCGTTGACTTGTCACCTTAATTTTTTGTGAAAAGAAAAGACAGCAGTAAGTCAATCAAATATTCTCTGACAAAATTCAACCTTCCAAGATATAGATGTAAAGATCAGGCAGGGCCTGAATAGCTAATGCTTAAGAAATGACTATACAAGAAAGAGAGTGACAATTAAAGAATAAACTGGCCCCTTTTCAATGCCCAACCACTGATACTTTACTTTTATCCCCTCCTCCTGGGAAGATAGAGCGAAGCCTGGCTTTCTTATTCTTCTCTTCAGGGGCCATGGGAAGTGGTTTGGAGCTGTGGTTGAGTGCTGAAGAATCTCGGTTGTTACTATTCATTCTCAGTGGGGGAGCTGGGGGCTTCTCTTCATTATCCAGACTATCAGACATTTTCAGTTATAACTGAATGCACAGCTCCTGAAGAAAAGGAAAAAGCAGGAGTTATGGGTAGATCTGAAAAACACCTAATAAATATAGAAATTCTAGCATTTTTAGAACAAAACATTGCCCTCACATTGTTGTTTTGTGTTACCCATTTCTTTTGAGTTTCTATTTAAAGGAAAGGGAACTGCTTATCCAAAAACCAATGATGCAAATGTCCTAAGAGGCTAGTGAAGGAATAATAACCTTTTAAAATGTATATACAAACATAAAAGGCACATTACCTTTTTCCACAACGGAACTACTTTTCTATTATCCTCTTATAAATAATATGCAACGTGTTTTTAAAATTCTATCCTGAAGATATTAAAAATTTGATCCATGGTCTTTATTCATTGGGGAAAATTTGCCACCAGATGGGAATGCCAACTGGTTCAGCCCTTTTGGAAAACAGTATGGATGATTCTCAAAAATTTAGAAACTGAGCTCCCATTTGACCCAGCAATACCACTCCTGGGAATATATCCCAGAGAGACAAAAAAGTATAGTCAAAGTGACATCTGCACTTGTTTGTTCATTGCAGCACTGTTTACAATAGCTAGAATATGGAAAAAAACTGAATGCCCAAGAATAGATGACTGGTTAAGGAAATTTTGGTACATCTACACAATGGAGTACTATGTAGCTGTTAGAAAAGATGAAGTCATGAAATTTATGTACAAGTGGTACTACTTGGAAAGTATCATGCTAAGTGAAATGAGTCAGAAAGAGAGGGACAGACATAGAAAGATTGCATTCATCTGGGGAACATAAAGTAACAAAATAGGAGACTAACACCCAAGAACAGCAGACATAAGTACCAGGAGGTTCACTCCATGGCTTGGAGGCCAGCCGCACACGCTAGGAGAAAAGGCAGCTCAGATAGAGAAGTGAGGACCAAATAAAGGGTGTTGGGAGGATCCTCCCAGGATGGGAGATGTGTGCTGAGAGTAGACTTTAGACCTAACATGATTGCCATTCAATTCCTCTTTTGCAAACCACAGCACCCAAAAGGAGAGAGAGAACAAAGGGGAATGCCCTGCCACAGAGGCAGGGTAGGATTGGGGCGGGGGGGGATAGGGGGTTGGAGGGATACTGGGATCATTGGTGGTGGAGAATGGGCACTGGTGGAGGAATGGGTATTAGATAATTGTATAACTGAAACACAAGCACAAAAATTTTGTAAATCTACAACTTTACCTCATGGTGTTTCACTAATATAAATCTAAAAAAAAAATTCCACAAGAAACAAATTACTCATTTCCCCTTTTTATTGCTGTTGTTTTACTTGACTGGTTTATCAGACAAGTAAAACAACATTTTTCATTTGTGTATATATACTACTGTCTTTGGGAACACACTAAAAATTCTAGTAGTCCCAGCAACTGTAGCTAAAGGAAAGGGAACAAAATGATTGAACATTGTATCCTGGAAAGGTTGAAAGAACAAATTTATGTTTTGGCTACTGACCTGCTCTAAATTTCATTGCACTTTATTATCTTATGCTTTGGGCCATGTATATTTGGATTTCATTCCACTGGGAGTATACAGTGAGCCGTGCTGTCAGAAAGCATGGACTCCTCAAGGAAACACTTCTGTTTCCAGCTGCTTTCCTATTTTAATTCAAGTCCTTCTATTAGGGCCCTAAAATGTGCCATCTCAAACTAGGATTGGTAGTACCTTCCGAAGTTAATCTCCAATTTGAATATGAGAAAAATAAAATACCAATACAAAAGAATCACTAAACAATCATCAAATATGTACTTGTGCTGACTGAGAAGCATAAGAAGTCTCCAACACAAGATACCACATTATTCCAATAATTTACTATTAACAACTCTACAGCAATAAAAAGGGGCCTCCTCATTTTTTGATACAATGAGATATTATCTATAACTTTACCTTTTATAAATAATTTTAAAGAACCATAAGTTAAAAAGTTATTGATAGTTAAGTGTTAGGCATATAATATTTCAATACCAATTCCACCACCACCAGCATCAACTTCCTTCCACCAGTGTTCCCATATTCTTTCCCTACCACCAATCTATAACTATTCTTCTTATTTATATATATTCTTCTTCTTCTGTTCGGTGATTACAATATTTATTATTTTCAGTAAGTTAAATATTACTTGGAATAATTTTTAATTTTATTATGACCTAGATTCTCTCAAAAATATACAACTTTTAAATATTCAAGATTAGGTTACTATCAGGTTGGAGTGATGGCACAGCAGGAGGGCATTTGCCTTGCATGTGGCCAGCCCGCTGATCAGGGTTCGATTCCTCCGCCCCTTTCAGAGAGCCGAGCTAGCTACCAAGAGTATCTCGCCTGCACAGTAAAGCTTGGCAAGCTACCTGTGACATATTCAATATGCCAAACACAGTAACAACAAGTCTCACGATTGAGACGTTACTGGGCCCGCTCGAGCAAATTGATGAACAATGGGAGCACAGGTTAATATCAGTAGCTGCTCTATCTTCATGGGTAACAGCCAACTAACAATTGGCTTGATTTGGATTTGGACACGAGATTGCTATTTTTGTTCTTGCCCAATACCATGTCTTATGTTATTTTAAGATCAATACCATATTTGTCCTATGTAATTATAATAGTGAAATCCTCAGTCTAAATGTTTTGTCATCAACTGGATCATCCTGTTTTCTTCTATGGATGAAAGTACCACACATATCAAAGTAATTCTGATGTCAAGGGTAAAGTTTATTCATAGATATTTCTGGTACTAGTAAATATTTTAAATACAAAACAAGTGATAATGAGTTTATATTTTTTGTATTTTTATTTTTGTCCTTCTGAATGTATTGTTTCCCCAGAAAAAAAGTTTAAGACTGATCTCACTGGGGCCAGACTGGTAGCACAGCAGTAGGGTGTTTGCCTTGCATACGGTGGACTGGGATATTATCCCCGGCATCCCATATAGTCCCCAGAGCCCTTCAGGTATAATTTCTGAATACAGAGCCAGGAGTAACCGCTGAGCTTTGCCATGTGTGGCCCAAAAACCAAACCAAAACAAAACAAAAAGTCTAATTTAATCATTGGCAAATTATTTTGTACTGAACAGATGTATGGTTTCAATTTAAGTCACTGAGGAAAATTTGTCACCAGAAACAAACTCTTTTGTTTGTTGGTCTGGGGTATTCTAGCCACACCTGACCGTCCTCAGGGCTTACTTCTGGCTGGGCACTCAGGAATCACTCCTTGAAGTGTTTGGGGACCTTATGTGGTGCTAGGAATTGAACCTGGGTTGGCCACGTGCAAGGCAAATGCCTTACCCACTGGACTATCACACCAGCCCCAAAGTACTCATTTTTAAAAACTGGTATTCTTTCCTGGGTTTAAAAATAATGCCAGATTATGAGGAATTGTTATTTAAAGTTTTGCGATACCAATTCTAGTTTAGTGGAAATAAAGAAATTTTCAAGTTGAGGAGAGACAATTTAGAGGTAAAATAAGGTAAGTGCCTTGCACATTGCTGACCCCAATTCAATCCCCAGCACAGCATATGATCCCCTCAGCACCATCAGGAGTCATTTATTAGCACAGAGCCCTAAGCACCTCCAGGTGGGACCCAACTACTTGCCTAAATAAAATTTCAATAATTGCAAGTGAACTCAATTAGAAAAACTATTTTTATTTTTGCTTTTTGTGTTACACCTTGAGATTCTCAGGGGTCAATTCTGGCTCTCATTCAGAAATTACTTCTGGTGGTGATCAGGGGACCGGACCATATGGGATACTGAGGACTGAATTTGGATCAGCTGCGTGTAAGGCACTACGCACTGTACTATCACTCCAACCCAATATGAAAAACTTCTAAATAGAAATAAATGTGGGTAATGAAGAGCCACTATATTCTGATTGATACATATTTTCTTATGACATATTAAAGATGACAAGTCAGATAACATGTATGGCCTATTTATTGTACTGGGGATAGAATCCAGGGACTCACACATGATACACATTCTTGGTTAATAGCCTATTCAAAAATTATATATAAAACTGATTTTGTATAATGAGCCAAGTAAGATTCTGGGCTGTTGAAGGTTCGAGTGTGTCTGTGGCACTGCAGTTGAAAATAATTGGCTCCTTAGTGATAAATAGGTGTGGTCACAGTAGCATTTTTGTTATTCCTAATTACCCTATGCATTGCTTCTCTGCCTTTTGGCTAAGATCAAATGTGGTACCTAATTACCCTATGGACAGAAACCGAAAAGGTATAAGTCTTTCTTCTTTTGAGGCAGTCTGATTACCCTGATCTTATTTGACTAGGTATACTTTAGTTTAGAACAAAGAGGTTACTTCATATAAATTCAAACTATCTTTTCCATTATAACATTAGAAAGCTACAACTAAAATCTCAACACTACACACTTTCTATTATATGGCATGCATTCTGCCAGAGAACCAACTTACAAAACACACCGTTCCATTGTCCAGAAAATGAATTAATTTTAAGTTACTATACTTCATGAGGGGTTTAGTGAAGTAAAAATAAAACTTTTCCAGAGATGAAATGAAGCTGAGTAATCTGACAAATTCCATATTAGGAAGATGAAGCATGAAGCAAATAGTAATTCCTTTACTTAGATGCTTAGACATTTTGGATTTTAAGTTATTCTAATACTTCAGTTCTTTAATACCCCATCTTAAGATACAACCAATCTTTGTCTTCTAATAATTTTATATAATATCTATTTGTTGACAAAAGAATCTTTTGCTATCTTTGGCTCTACCTTTAAAACACACTTTTAGATATCCAATGGAGAAAGAATAGGGATCTGTAAGGAAGCCTGGCTGTTAATGTATTTGTTTCTCACGTAGGAGGTTCTCCAATGATTCTACAAATGTAAAAAAAGGAGATTCTATTATTCTATGTTTGTAAACAAGGAAAATTTACTAAGCTGGGTCCCTCTCTTGAGACAGCTTTCTACAAAGGATAGTATTAATGGGTTGCTAGTTCAATCTGTCTA